ACTCAACAGTAGGAAAATAGCCCAATCAATAAATGGGTCAAGGACTTAAACAGATCTCACCAAAGAAGACACAGAAGTGGCAAATAAGCAAAAGAAAAGATGCTTCACATACATGTCACAGGGAAATGCAAATTAAAACAATAATGAGATACCTTTACACCTATCAGAATGGCCAAATTCTGCAGCACTGACAAAACCAAACGGTGGTGAGTATGGAGAGCGACAAGAACTCTCACTCATTGCTGGTGGAAATGCAAAATGGTATAACCACTTTGGAAGACAGTCTGGTGGTTTCTCACAAAACTAAAGACACTATTACCATATGATCTAGCAATCCTTGATATTTACCCAAAGGAATTAAAAACTTATGTCCACACAAAAACCTGCACACAAATGTGTATAGTAAGTTTACCCATAATTGCCAAAAGCTGGAAGCAACCAAGATGTCCTTCAAAGGGTGAATGGATAAACAAACCACGATACATCATACAATAGAATATTATTCAATGATAAAAAGTAATGAGCTATCTCAAGCTACAAAAAGACATGGAAGACCTTTAAATGCAAACTGCTAAGCAAAAGAGCCAATCTGAAAAGGCTACATACTGTGTGATTCCAACTTTATGGCATCCTGGAAAAGGCAGAACTACAGAGACAGTAAAAAGATCAGCAGTTGCCAGGGGTTGGGGGAGAGGGAGGGAGGGATGAATAGGTGAAGAACAGGGGGTTGTTAGGGTGGTGAAACTATTCTATATGATACTGTACAAGATGGCTATGTCAAACACTTGTCAAAGCCTATAGAATGTACAAAAGTGAATCCTAATGTAAACTACGGGCTTCAGTTAATAATACTGTATCAGTATCAGCTCATTAATTGTAACAAACGTGCCCCATTAATGCAAGGTGTCAATGATAAGGGAAACTGGGAGAGGAGATGGCATGGCATATGAGAACTCTGCACTTTCTGCTCAATTTTTCTGTAAACCTAAACTGCTCCAAGAAATAAGGCCTATTAATTTACAAAAAAGTACTTCTCAGAGTTACCCATAAACTCATTTTTAATATATTTTTTAAGAGAGCAATAATTTTTTCAAAAATAAAAACAAGAAATACTCCAAATATGGTAAAGCAGCACTAGAAAATGAATGGCAAAACAGCCCCCAGTTATGTCCTTCAAGGACAATGACAATTTGCTCAAACACAGCTACTGATCTAAATCTGCCTTACAATTCAAAAGCACTTAAGCCTTTTAAATATGGAGAACATTCTAAACACTGCTTAATGTTGATGAAACAACATTTGTGGTCAGGGCAGCACTCCATCCTGTGGTATGATGTGTTTAGATCTGTAACTCCATCTTCGCCCCTACAGGTTTTCATACTCTATGTACCTGTTTACAGCATACTTTATCCTGCTGAAATGAAAGGTTCATTCAGTGTGCATCATAAGCCCATATAAGGAGGGGGCTTAGCACAGATCTGTAATGTGCCATTTGCAAACATGTACCCTGATGAACTATGCCTAAGAGATGATTTGCTTTCCTTCCAAAATGACATTTTTAGGACATCCCTTAGAACAGTCTCATAGCCAAAGACACAATTTAATGGAGCTCCCTAAGTCAAGAGTTTCCAAGCTGCCTGTCTCAAGAAAACTTGCTACCAAGAACCTTGCTACGAGCTAAAATCCAGCTAACGTAATACACATCTGCAGAAGACAGAACCTGCAGAAGATGGAACGAGACAGAAATCTGACTACAGGAATAACAGACAGATCCCAGAAGATATTTCTCTGCAATTGCAAAATTCCATGTAAGTTTTATGCTGTGATTTTAAATTAAAACGCCTCAATTTCAAATAGACTTCTTAAGGCTTCCACGAATTACATCTACAGTTCAGAACTACACAAGCAACCATGTGCAGGTAACCTGCTTGGTCACCCTGAATACCTTTTGTAAAGCAGCAGCCCAATGCGTGATTATTTTTCTCCTCGGTCCTAACCCAAAGGGAGTGGGATCTTTTCATTTTCCTGGGAAGGCACCCTTAGGATGGAGATAGACCCTAAGGACTCCAGACCTCAGAGCTCCACCTCCAGTTCTCCACCATAGTCATATCCTCTGCTTATTTGGTTTCTCACTGACAGCTGTGTCCTTGGCAATTCACAGCTGACACAACACTACTTCCACTGCTTCCACTTCAAGACACAGTATTTAGAAACTAGTAGTTAACACTTGCGGTTTATAAACAAATACTTAGTACGTCAGCTGGTTCATCAGACAGCTATACTTGTTAAATTGGTTGTGTTTAAAGAATCAATCCAAATTCTCATTAGATTATAATCAAATCTCATTTCAATGAACAAAAAATGTACCTGAGGACAAGTGATTCAAAAAAAGCATTTTGTCAGTATTTCCTTCTTTCAAGTTTCACATTGGAAGGGATCAAAGGATTCTTAGAATTCAAAAATAGTTAATTAATTACTTGTATATAAAAATGAGTATATGTATCCAACCTTAAGATTGCTTTTACAAATAGCATTTTAGAAGCAAAGTTCAAGTACACTGTTTCAAACAAAAAGATTCAGCCTTGTTTTCTTTAATGATGATGGCAGCGTAGGGCGAATGCTTGGCAAACGGACCTAGAACAGAAGTGAAACGTAGGGTCTAACATCGTATTTTACCTTTAGTATTCTGTCTTCTCTACTAAACCACTTAGAAACACTTTTATAAATTACATCCTTCAGGCTGTTGTTTCATAATTTTCCAGTTCCTTGCTCACCTACTAAAGGCAACTGACTTGTCAAGAAGGAAAACAAAACAACAACAAAATTACAAGAGGGGGAATTGTAGGCTTAGATGAAATGGCTGGATAAAGAATCATGAAAAAAAAGTAAGATCTATACAGGTGACTAGTAGTCAATGAAGAAACAAATGGAATCAATTAATTCAAAATGTGTCTGTAAGGTCATTCAGACAGACCTACCTCCAAAATTCACTGAGGCACAACTGGAAACTGCAAGACAGTTCACTGAGACAGGCAGACCTTACTCTAGTTTTTGTGGCTGCCTGATAACTAGAACTCGCCTGAGCTAAATTTCTCTCTCACACACACACAGACACAGGAAAAGATCTGGAATACAACTTCCATGACCTAGTTTCAAATATATTCCCTGCCTTTCTTCCAAACTAACATACATCACATGAATTATCCTCAACAAACCCACGTGCTTTAGACATGTGTAATCCCAACCTTAACGACAAAAGACTCTCAGTGGGAAAGAACAGTTATATCACAATCACCCTCTCAATTTCATTCTCTGAAAAAGGCTACTGGTATTTTTTTTTTAATTTTTAAATTTATTTTTTATTTTATTTTTGGGGGGGAGGTAATTAGGTTTATTTATTTACTTGTTTATTTAATTTTAAAGGAGGCACCGGGGACTGAACCCAGGGTCTCGTGCATGCTAAACACACACTCTACCACTCAGCTGTACCCTCCCCTCAAAAGGTTACTGGTGTTTTCTATTTATAGTTCACTTTTTTCCTCCATTCCCACAAAGTTGTCTTTGTAGACATATGTTGTCCTGCCTCAGAAATACAGAAGCAATTATTAATCAGATTTTCCTTGTTATGCCTATTAGCAGCAGGGCACCTGTCACAATCGTCATAATGTTCCAGAAAAGTATTAAAGAATCTGCCAAGTTAATTTTCCTGATTGTAACTTTGTGCACATCCAAATCTTCAGGCTATACAGTCAAACCTGAACTCCTCCTCCTAACAATCACTGCACACTCCCAAACCCGCTCCTTACCAAGAGTGTCCTGGAAATGGCACCGAACTGGATTAGAGAGATTGATAACTTCCTAGTAATCTTAGTTTCTTCATGTAAATAAAAAATTAGACTAGACCAAGGATTAAGGATTTTTTTCATGCTCTGCTTCCAACATTTCTATTCCACCCTTCCCCACTTTTTGGAAGATTTAAAAAAAAAAGTCACGATAAGTGGCATCAATTATGTTGTAGATAGTTCTCTGCCTCGAGGAATCTAAAATCCAGTTGAAGATCCAAGGATAGTAAATCCAATAAAAGCCCATTTCTTTCTGTCTGCCCCAAAAGGAGGCCCGCAGATAGTAACCAATAGACCGTGCATTCTCAATGGGGAAAATTCGTGCCCTAAGTGTGGGAAAAATGTTTTGTGGTCCTCTGAAGGGTGTAAAAATTCCTCAGAAGGAAGGGTGTGGTTAGGAAAAACCTATGTAAAAAGGAATACTGGAGGATAAGAAAGTTGAGAAACACTGATAGTGGAACCCACGAGAGCTTCGCATTGCTCTACATATGCTTCATAATTAGCTACATTACCCTGAACAAATTTCTTAACCTGAGTCGAGCCGCACCCTGATGTACCACCAACATCCTGGGTTTCTTCCTTGGATTAACAACTACAAATGGCCAGCATCTCTTCAACCTTAACTTCTCAACTCGAATGTTCCTTTCTCAAAAAAGTCCTTTCCCAACCACTGTTTAAAGTAAGCCTCCCCTCATTCTCTCTCAGCACTACTGATCCACTTTCACAGTCTGTAACTGGATAGTTGTTTCCTTGTTTTGACTGGATGTCTCCCACCTTGGGTGGTAGTTTCCATGAGGGGATGGACTGTGTCTGTGTTTACAGTAGTACCCTGAGCCTGGCACAAAACAAGCTGCTGGCTGGTTCCCTTCCCCTTGACCAACTTTTACTATCTTAACATACTGACGGGTGTGTCAGGACCCTTCTCCAGAGATTAACCCCACGATATGGTCTCCAATACTAATAATAATTCACTCTTTTTTTCACTTCGAGGTCCCCTTGGCCTCAGACCAAAATCTGCCAGAAAGTTTCCCAAAGATCTTTGATCAATTATAAAAATTTTATTATTGCAAAAACCCTGAAAATCATACTGAACTTGACATTAAGGGGAATGGATTAGAGAAGGAACGTGCATTTTTTAAAATGTAAGATTGAATATCAGTGCCCACTTTAGCAACATATGGACTAAAACTGGAATGATGGGGAGATTAGCATGGCCCCTGCACAAAGATGACATGCAAATCTGTGAAGTGTTCTATATTTAAAAAAAAAAAAGACTGAATATCAAAATAGCACTTTTTATTCTTCAAGGTGCCCAAGATTTTAAAAGACCTTTCATTTCTTATCCTAGGGGCTGTTCTACTTTCGGGTGTAACAATACTGGAGCCACTAACAGAGAGACGAGGCAATGGGACAGTCTGGGACATATACCCTTTCCACACGCAGGACGGGAAATTTTAATGTGAACAAGAGGTAAGTATGTGTGTTGCGCAGAGGGAAACAAAACTTGACCTACAGGAAGTTATTTCAAATCAGAACAGCTAACGTTGAGACCATATCACTCCCTGAAAATAAATCCTGCTCACCTTGAAGGAGCCAGGTCAGGTGTTATTACAGTGAAATTTATCTTAGTGAAAACAGAACATGAGGAAATCAAGAAGATGAGATTCTTCTGATTTGCTTACGACAAGAAATATATGTATCTATTTCTACAGTATCAAAATATTTAGCAAGTTCTAAACTATAAATTTAGTTGGATAAAGTAAAACAAAAACATATATACAGTTGAGTGCATATATGTATGTATGTATATAATCCACATATATTCATATCTATTTATATATGTTATATGGATTAAAACAAAAATATATAAAATACTTTATTCCCTCAGTTTCCTATTAAACATGGTCTTTAATTAGGATGACCATATAATTTAGTATCCTAACCAGGCCAGTTTTGAGTGAAAGAGAGACTTAATAATTACACCAGGATAGTGTGTATATACTGGGACTGTCCTGGACGAATCAGGATACATGATCACCTTAATTATAATAAAATCCATGGAGAACTATAAGATTTCGAGAAATACAAATTGGATGGACAATATTAAAATGTGTCTCCTTTAGTAAAGTTAAAAAAAAAGATTTTTCAAAAAAAAAGTTTTAAGAAATGAATTTTAAAAGCTGAAGTCTACAAAAGATCTTCTCCGTATGAAGAAATATCCAATTAAACAAAGGGTATAAATCAAAGAATGAATAGTAAAGTATTAAAACAAGGAATTAATCTCTAGGACCAGAGGCTTAAATTAATGTTTTCTTTAATTAAGGAAGCCAATCCTTTCTAAAAACTTAAACCAACCCCATACAGACACTTCTGCACCAGCCTCTAATACCACTTTGTTATTTTCGTTACTAGGAGACATTTGCACGAAAACAAGATTTACATCCTTTTCTTGCTTCTGTTCTTCTACCTAAAGGAATAATCCTCCATTATTAGCAATACACTCAATATCTCCACAGCAACTAGTATAATTGGGGTGTTGCAACAGAGGATAATGAAGTGGAAAACAAGGTGATAGAAGTGGTGTAGAAGAAAAAAAAACTTTCACACAGCCTTGGTGGGAAAATAACTACCAAGAAGAAAAAAAAAAGAAAACTTGCTAAAAAGAACCATTTTGAGGTCGTTTTAGTCAGTTGCTACTAGGCCTTTAAGATACTTAAGTATGCAAGGAAGCAAATAAAAGTCTCTAACATGATGAAGTGTATGGAACAATTGCAGATGACTTCACTGAGAGAACTCCGAGGTGGGGAAGAGAGGAGGTTTCTGAAATAGATAAGAAGTGACTTTCCGCAGGTTTTCGCATGTGGCTCCCAAGAAGGGGCAGGGTACAAGGAACCGTTCAGAAGAGCCCTAGAGCTAAGCAAGTGTTAACTAAGCTAAGGGGGAGGGAGGGTCGATCCTGGGCAAAAGGTAGCCTCACAGTGGCCAGAGAAGGCAGAGGGCAGCAGACTGAGAATCAGGAAACCTGGGCTCTTCATTGGCTTCTGCCTGATGCAACACAGGGGTAAGCAATATGAGCCAAAAAGCAGTATTTGAGACTACTCATTAATTCAGAAAACATGTGTTGAGTGCCTACATCATGCTAGGGGGAAAAAATGTATAAATTTTGCTCCCAGGGAGCTCAGTCTGGAAGAACCGTAATTTCAACAGAAAATCATATTACAACATGGTAGCCTAGTGACAGAGAAAGGCCTAGGTATTCTGGAACAAAGAGGGGACACCTAGCCCAAGGGACTGAGGCGGGGAAGGGAGACAGGAAAGCTCCCTGCAGAGGATGTTGGAGGTCAACTCATTTGTGCTTTAAATCACTCCTCTGAAAGTGCTCAACAAGATCACCACCTAAAGGAATCCTCGGCATTGTAAAACCCGACAAACACTGTGCTCTCACCCTACTCAAGAACTCACAACAAAACTGATTACTCCATCCTGCTTTAAACACTCGATTTTGTTGGCATCTGGAGCAATGCTCTTTGGGTTCTCCCCCTACCTCATTACTACTCCTTGGTCTCCTACTCGATCTATTTATTAACTCTGTTATTCTTCATGGCCTGATCTCTGCCTTTCTTCTCTGCCTGCTAAATCTCCTTGGGTAATTCTAGATTTCCCATTACTTCATAATCTACTTCAATGCTGACACCCTCTGGCTCCGAGCTTGCCTATGAGTGCAGTTCTCAGAATCACTGTTCCCTGTTTGACAACTGTCTCTATTACGATGACCAATAGGCAGCTCAGACTAACTAATGGCCAAAACAGAACTCTATTCCCTACAACCCCCTTACCCATCAAAAAACTAGGAGACCTGCTTGACTTCTCCTACTCTGTCATGTCTCCTATCCAAATCTATCCATTAAGTCCTGTCCATTCTATCTCCAAACCTCTCAAATCCATCCACTGTTCTCCATTTCCAACACCACCACCCTGCTCCAGCCAGTATCACTCCTCCTGCACAATGCTGCCTAACTGCTTCTCCCCTTCCACTCCACTCTGCCCAGCAGAGAGCTCTGTTACACATGTAAATCAGATCATGTCCCGCTCCCTCTTAGATCACTTCACAACGCCTTCTCATTGCATATGGAATAAGATTTATATTCCCCACAAAGTTTGCAAGCACCCCCGACTCTCCCAACTGGGTTCTGCCTGCCCCACCACATTATCCCTCACCCCTCTCTCTCCTGCTCAGACACTGCAGCCAGACTGGCTTCCCTCCCTTCCTTGCCTTGTGTAACCAAGCACTTTCCCTGTTTCCTCTACTGGCTCCTTCTCACCCTGCACATCCCAACGCAAGCTTTACCTCTTCTGACAAATCTTTCCTGACTGTGCTAGAGAGGCTTCCCCATTCGCTCTCAACACATTTCCTTTAAAGAGCTGATCCAAGTCTGAACTGATCTTATTTATTTATTAGTTTTACTTGCTTGTCATCTGCTCAATCTCACTTTTCAGCACCTTTTTCTCTCTCAACACATCAACTCAAACAATTTCCATTAGGGTAGAAAGCTTGAGTATTGCTCACTGAATTCTTAGAATCAAGAACAAAGTCTAGCACACAGCAAGTGCTCAAAAATTGTGTGAATGCATTAATCAATTTCAGAAGGAACTGAGGAGGGCTTGGAGCTAGTCTCAGCCACCTGTGTAGCACAGGTATCTGATAAAGTCAATGCATTTATGAAATCCAAAGCAACCTATCTTGAGAACTTGGTGAGAACAGTGCCTTGTCCAGTATCTGGGGGAATTTTTTGCTACAAAACCCTCCACCATTATTTCCTTCCTCCACATTTAAGTATCTCCCCACACAGAATTGCACTTCCTTCCGTCCTTCCGTCCTCCCTCCCTCCCTTCTCCCCCTCTCTTTTCTCCCTCTCATACTGTGCCTGTGTCTTTCTACATTATAATCTTAACTATTCCTGGCAGACTGAGATTTGATATCAAGCAATGATTACTGATCTAGGTTTTATAGTGGCCTGGCTTCCTAAATTGTCACAATAAGCAACTCAACAAGAGCACAAATTAGTAAGCAACATCATGCATATAAACAGGGCAGGGCTAGGGTGAAGACAGCAGTGGATAAACAGGTGAGCAGTGAGGTGACAGATGAGAGAAGCGCGGTGAGGCACGGGGGCTGAGGCCAGGGCAGATGATGCCCGTATTCTATTGTATCATAACTCTCAAAGGCACATGAGCAGCCATCGTTCCTATATGCATGAATCTTAAATATTTCATTTATAGGCACAGGCACACCTCCTGCCATCAAAATTCACAAGCGTACTTGACAGATAACCTTAGAGAGATGTTTCACTGTACCCTTCAGCCTGCCCGCTAGTTCTAGCAAAAGGCACCAGAACCAGTTTTCTCTGACTCCAGGATATAATTCAGTTTTTAAAACACAATACACCAAAGTCACTGATGGTAATTGCTAAGGGATAGTTCTGAGAATGACCTCAGATTCGTGCAGGATGTTGTTCCTTAAGGATAAGGCTGGTCAGAGCTGAATGCCTGGTAAGGCAACCAACCACCAGCCACACGTGGCTACTGAACACTTGAAGTGTGGCTAGTCCAAGCTGAGATGTGCTGTAAGTGCAGAATACACACCAGATTTCGAAGATTTAGGAAAAAGTTAAAATGTTATGAATTTTTTTCCCAGTCATGCATATACATACGTATATATGTTTTCATATTATTTTTCATTAAAGCTTATTACAAGATATTGAATATAGTTAGTTCCCTGTGTTACACAGAAGAAATTTGTGGGGGGTTTTTTAATCTATTTTTATATATAGTGGCTAACATATGCAAATCCCAAACTCTCAAATTTATCTCTTTCCATTCTCTTTCCCCAAGTAGCCATAAGATTGTTGACTATGTCTGCAAGTCTGTTTGTTTTGTAGATGAGTTCATTAGTGTCCTCTTTTTCTCTTTTTTTTAGATTCCACACACGACTGATATCATATGTTATTTTTCTTTCTCTTTCTGGCTTACTTCACTTACAACGATGATCTCTAGGTCCATCTATGTTGCATATTAATTATAATTGACAATATTAAACATAACATTTTAATATGTTGGATTAAATACACTCTAAAAATAAGTTCTTAATAAAGTGACTCTAAATCTAAAAAGGTATATTTTAAAGGTATATATTGCAAATATGAAAATATCCTGTCCCCATAGTTTTAAGAGTTTTCAATTTTTTTATATTTCTACACAAGAC